ATATTTCATAGTTATGCTGTTTTTGTCTCTTACTGAAAATCGAATCAGTCGTCTTTCTCCCAAGAGGAATTGTTTTCTTGAGTTTTAAATAAAACAACGCATGTAAGATGTATTGGTTGCATTTATTTTCCCCAATAATTTAATTTTACTGACTAATTGTCAGTGAAGAAGAGGGGGAATTGTGTCAGAGAGACTTTCAAATCGTAGCAACCCTACGTGTTTTTTTAGGATGCAAAAGTTAACACTGAAAGTTTCTGAGCGAGAACCTCTTTTTGTCAGGAAACTTTTTTCTTCGCTAATTGTTGATTCGTTAATTCAGAGACGAATGAAAATGCACCCAAACCAGCCACCATCCTTCTATTTTTTTCTTTTTTGTGATAACTGATTCCAATCGCCGACATGTGACTTGTGTCCATCAACTGACCTTATAAAACACATCGTATAGCTGTTAATTAGTTATATGATTTTCCTTTGTCTCATCTTTAAACTCATTATCTTTACTACATTCAAATAATTTTACACTTTGCTTCGTTTTATTTTACGGGATATCAACCTCAACGGGTTATTTAATGAGGACAAGATTTTTATTCCTGGTAATATTTTTATTTTCAAAAATGGTAATATTTTTATTTTCTTCAAAAATCTATTTCTGGTAATATTTTTTCTTCAAAAATGTATAGCTGGTTATAATTTTCATAAAGTGTATAGCTGGTAATTTTTTTCAGAAATGTATAGTTGTCAATATTTTTTCAAAAAATGTATAGCTGTTAATATTTTTTTTTTAATGTATACTTTGGTTTGGTTTGGTTTGTTTTACGGCATATCAACCTCAATGGATTATTTAATGCCGACAAGTTTTAATTACGGGTAATTTTTTTTTTCCAAAAATGTATTGCTGGTAATAATGACAAAAGACCACTTAAAGAACTCACAGACCTAATTGAATGCAAGAGTAACAGATAGAAACAACGAGTAAACTACACTAAGGTTGGCAAAACAAGGAGGTGGGGTATGGTTTTCTTCGTGTCAATATTCCATAGTTATGCTGTCTTCGCCTCTTGCTGAAAATCAAATCAGCCGTCTTTTCTCAGGAAAGATTTTTCTTAAATTTTAAATAAAGCAACGCATATAAGATGTATTGGTTGTTTTTATTTTCCTCAGTAATTATTATTTTAATGTATACCTTGTAATTTTTTGTTTTTTTTTCTTCAAAAATATATTGCTGATAATATATTGTTTTTCAAAAATGTATTGCCGGTAATAATTTTTCTTAAAAATTTATTGCTGGTAATAATTTTTCACAAAGTATTTCTGGTATTAAAACCTATTTTTACATAATGTTCTGACCCCAGTTTGAGGGTTAACTATTTGCCTATGCCTGGGACCTTAACAGGCGCTACCACCCTAGGTCAGGATGGACTTGGGAATACCAGCAATTAAGAGGTGGTTCCACGCCACTCAAAACCTCTTGATCAGCGGCCTTGCCGTTGGATGTAGTTTATCATCATACCCAAGACGCGGATGTAGTTCATGATCTTACCCAGGACGCGGAGGTAGTTTATCGTTATACCCAGGACGTGGATGTAGTTCATCGTCTTACCCAGGGCGCGGATGTAGTTTATCATCATACACAAGACGCGGATGTTGTTTATCGGTCATACCCAGAACGCGGATGTAGTTCATCGTCTTACCCAGGACGCATATGTCGTTCTTCCTCATACCCAGGACACGGATGTAGTTCATCGTCTTACCCAGGACGCAGATGTAGTTCTTCGTCATACCCAGGACGCGGATGCAGTTCATCGTCTTACCCAGGACGCAGATGTAGTTCTTCGTCATACCCAGGACGCGGATGTAGTTCATCGTCTTACCCAGGACGCAGATGTAGTTCTTCGTCATACCCAGGACGCGGATGTAGTTCATCGTCTTACCCAGGACGCAGATGTAGTTCTTCGTCATACCCAGGACGCGGATGTAGTTCATCGTCTTACCCAGGACGCGGATGTAGTTTACTGTCATACCCAGGACGGATTACAGAGTAATTCTTAAACCTTTCTTATAAAAAATTAATTGTGGAATTGTGATTGTTTTTGATAACTGGCACTTACTGTCTTTCCTTTGCTTTCAACGGTTGAAATATATAAAACCCTTACATTTGTCCTTACGCTTCTAGTTCCATCTAACCAGACACACATAGGTGCTGATAAAGCAGTTTCTAACATGGGAAGAACATAGTCAATGACTAAAATTAAGGAAAAGCGATTTAAGCTTCACACTTGGTGGAACTCCAACTGCCCTACTGTTCATCGTGCACACACCCACTTTGCAAATGATCCAATTCTACTCCGTAAAAGTCTCGAAAAGGGAAAAGCATTATTATAGTTTCTGCAATCTGTTGTTGAGTTGACTTTGAGAAATCAGCAATGTTATCTGTCTTGATCTGGTATCTCGGCTTCAGCTAATTTACTACAGACGTGAAGCAGAGTATTAAACTTGAAACTAGGTGTCATTTCAATGTTGAAATTGCTAGACGTAACCGTAAGTTCTATGCTAACAGTTTCTTCTCTCGCACTTCTCGCTTGTGGAACTCTTTTCCTATTTGTCATATAGGAAAATGAGTAACTACCGAAACCCAATTTCGAACGTGACACTCTGAATATATGTTTTCCACCAGGTATATAAATAACGGTGTCAGGCTACTGACTGGAGTGATTATTGGGTGACTATTAAGTGAAACTATCCAGTCGAATTGGTGTGAATTATTGTGCGCTGAGGATTTAGGATTTACCGGACGTTAATCCGAGGCGCGCTTCTAACAAGATATTCCCTGAAATTGTTAATTATCTTTGGTTGACTTTTACTTCTTTGTTTTGTTAAGTATTTCTTTGCAGTTGTAATTAAATACTGTTTTATTTTAACATTGAAGTCTTGAGTTATACTTAATCATTAACGGCCACAAACTACTATTATAAGATCAATTTTCAAAATTTTAAATGCACAGGGAGTTTAAAAATAACTAATAAGAAACGGTTTCGACATGAGCCAAATCATCGAATACCGATTACTGAGGAAACTTGCTGTGGCATTATCTCCTATGTAAGCCACCAGATTATGGAACTGTCTTCCGAATTCTTGCTTTCCAGTCTTGGCAGAGAACAGATATATGGCAACATACGGCTTGTGGCCTACACAGTGAAAGCCAGAGGAGTCCATTTGGCGGGCTGTGATCAATGGCCAGAGAATGAGGTTATTTTGTCATTTGCCAACACTAGCAAGCCTCATCAGTGAGCAAATCAAAGTACTATCGACTGACCCGGAAAGTCTCCTGATTTAAATCCAATCAACAATCTGTGGTCAATCAGCAAGGAACGACTTCGTGGGATGAACATACGAAGTACTAACATGTGCACTAGCTCATGTTTCATTGGAAAATACGAAAAAAAAGTAAATAATAATAGAATTATTCGTTTTATTTACATTATTCGGACTATTGTCCTCATTTTTGTCGCCAGAGATGAGGACAATAGTCAAATAATGTAAATAATGTACATAATACCTCATCTCAGAAATATAGACAGATACTGAAAGGCCAAAACCTTGTAATAAATATGGCAACAAAGATGAGGACAATAGTCCGAATAATGTAAATAGTGTACATAATACCTCATCTCAGAAATATAGACAGATACTGAAGGCCGAAACGTTGTAACGATTATGGCAAGAAAGATGAGGAGAATAGTCCGAATAATGTAAATAGTGTACATAATACCTCATCTCAGAAATATAGACAGATACTGAAAGGCCGAAACGTTGTAATTAATATGGCAACAAAGATGAGGACAATAGTCTGAATAATGTAAATAGTGTACATAATACCTCATCTCAGAAATATAGACAGATACTGAAAGGCCGAAACGTTGTAATAAATTTGGCGACAAAGATGAGGACAATAGTCCGAATAATGTAAATAGTGTACATAATACCTCATCTCAGAAATATAGACAGATACTGAAAGGCCGAAACGTTGTAATAAATTTGGCAACAAAGATGAGGACAATAGTCCGAATAATGTAAATAGTGTACATAATACCTCATCTCAGAAATATAGACAGATACTGAAAGGCCGAAACGTTGTAATAAATATGGCAACAAAGATGAGGACAATAGTCCGAATAATGTAAATAGTGTACATAATACCTCATCTCAGAAATATAGACAGATACTGAAAGGCCGAAACGTTGTAATAAATATGGCAACAAAGATAAGGACAATAGTCCGAATAATGTAAATAGTGTACATAATACCTCATCTCAGAATCTCAGGGTGTATATTGCTGAAAAAAAAAGAAATAATTATATATAAAGATATAGTTATGGTATATGGCAAATATGTTTTTTGTCCTACCTAATGAAAGCCAGAGGGGTCCAGTTGGCTGGCTGTATTCATTGAACAGAGAATGAGGTTATTTTGTTATTTGGCCTCTGGGAAGCTCAACTCCATAGCAGGACAAACTTATAAATATAATTAATTTATTTTATGTTACTGTTTTCATTTATTTTTCTCTTCATTCGTCAGGTACTAACTTGTTTAACAAGAACGTGTTCATAAGCTGACATTTGTACTCACACTCTTTGGGTTCTGTCACTGGATCGAACCAACGTCTTTATCCAGAGTGCCACGTGTCCTTGAGCGAAATAAAGGGTTCAGTTCGACATTCTATTCATCTGAAGAAGGCCGGTGCGTACAACGGCTGAAACGTTGTAATAAATATGGTGACAAAGATGCGGACAATAGTTCGAATAATGTAAATAGGGTACCAAAATTCGTTACTTTAAGCTAACTAGCTAAAAAATTATTTTGTAGTGGGCAATCATTAAAATTAGTACAGTTACATTTGTTGGTATTAGTACTATTATAATTATTTTCTATATTTTTATTTGTGTATGTAAAATATTTAAGATTGGTTTGATTTGTTTTGTTGTGGGTTATTTAATATCAAGAGACTGTAATATTTTAATCTATCTATCTATCTATCTATCTATCTATCTCAGTATAAGTATATATTGATTTGGTTTGGTTTGTTTTACGGCATATCAACCTCAATTGGTTATTTAATGCCAACAAATTTTTATTACTGGTAATGTTTTTTATCTATCTATCTATCTATCTATCTATCTATCTAATTCAGTATATATTGGTTTGGTTTGTTTTGTTTTACGGCATATCAACCTCAATGGGTTATTTAAAGCCGGCAAAGTTTTTATTACTGGTAATATTTTTTATCTATCTATCTATCTATCTATCTATCTATCTATCTATCTATCTATTTCAGTATATATTGATTTGGTTTGGTTTGGTTTGGTTTGGTTTGTTTTACAGCATATCAAACTGCTGACAACCTCCTATCTCTTGTTGAAGAGGCGTCCATGTTCTGAAAATGCTATAATTTCCTAATACTCCTGCAAGCAAGCGTGGCTCTGTCTATAGGATATTGAGCACTGTAATTAAAAAAAATCAACATTAGCCTGAGTTTTGCTGATTTGTATTTCAGTTGAATTTTTAACAATTTACATCACACACACACACACACATACATAGATAAATAATTACATGCAAGCATAATTAAATGTATACATGGCCGAGTGGTTAGAAAATATGCGTCCTCCGGCAGGAATCGAACCTGTATCCTATACAGAACCGTCATATAGCCTGACGTGCCTTAATTTCTCGGACATTCAGGTCGGTAAATGTTGTTAATACTGTTTATTATAAACAGAGCATTTACTTAAATATTTGTATCTATAAAAAGAATGTATAAACATAAAAACATGTCTAAAAATAATTGACAGACTTTGTCCATTTCATAATGTATGACGTCATTTGTTTACATTTGGATACGCATTGAGCAGATGTGAATGGATGAGAGAAAATCACGGAGAATTGTGTTTAAAAACAGTAAAATCGACCTTGCTAAACGAACACTCCTTTGTGGCCCAATCGGATAAAGGCACGTCAGGCTATATAACGGTTTCGTATAGGATACAGGTTCAATTCCTCTCGGAGGGCGCATATTTTCTATGAAAATTTCTTGGACATTCAGGACGGTAAATGTTGTTTATTATAAACAGGGCATTTACTTAAATATTTGTATCTATAAAACGTATGTATAAACATAAAAATGTCTTAAAATAATTGTCAGACTTTGTCTATTTCATTGTGTATATAAATATATATATATATTGTGTATACTTAGGCAACAATTCTTCATTGATGTATGTTTCATTAACTAACATAGACAAGTTTTGTCTATTTATTTTAAGTAACATGAAAATAATAAACAAAAACTAAAAAATTTTTGAAGCTATATACATAAAATAGTTGAAACCTAACCTGAATAAAATAACCTACGAAATCTCCACAAATATTCTTAAATGCTTATAATTGATAACAGAATCCATTGGTTTATACCAACGGCTTCCTATACTTAATACTTCTCGTTTTCACTCTCGCGTGGTCATGTTTGACGTTACAAGCTGCGACGCGATTTTCGCTTCCGCGTCTCGTATACACGAGTTAGTCGTTGCTTTGAAATCTTTCATGCAACAAAAACAGACTATCATTATTGTCTCGTCCGATATTGGTTGATATATTGAAAAGTAATTGTCATCTTTGATAATGGCTTATGTAAACCGAAAGCTTAGATTAGATTTAAACATGTATCAATATGGTGATTTCCTTTCGTCTTTCAATGATAATGTTATTAAGCTTATCAGACGATATGAAAGTAACTTAAAATAAATAGACAAAACTTGTCTATATTATTTAATGAAACATGCATCAATGAAAATATATATATATATATATATATATATATATATATATATATATATATATGTATATTCTTCACCGTAGCACTCTTCGGCGTTTCATGCATAATGCAATCGTAAGGTGCTGAGTAGAGACTGACCGTTATATAATTATACGATTGCGCGTTGTCTGTTTTTGATAGCATAATAGAGTCACTTAGGCACCGTCTTTGAGAACAAGCACTCCATATCGCAATTCACTTCACCAGAAAGTGGGAAACGCCATGCTGTACTACTTGGCATTCACACCAGAAGCTCTAATATGAACATTTCAGTGCGTCTTCGTGTCAATCTGAGGACCATGAAGAGGCTGCAAAAAGAGTTGGATTAGGGTTAATGGTGATTGCAGATTGAAAAACACACCCTGATGATTCTGATAAGAAAAGAACTATCGAATTTGCTGGTGACGGCCTCAGATCCAACACGGAGGCCGACATAAAAGCTTCGAAGATGTATTACTGTCCTTGGTCAAGAGGGTGGCCGCTGGAAAAAAAACCTATGCCTGACAACAGGATTCTGCACCATGACACACAAGCGGGAGACTCCAGTCATGACTGTCAGACAATTTCTGCGACCACATCACCCTTAACATTTGGTCACCTAACTCCCCGGACTACAACCCCCTTGATTATTAAGCGTGGGGCATATTTGAGAGAGAGAGAGAGAGAGAGAGAGAGAGAGAGAGGGAGAGAGAGCAACAAAGTTCAAAGATAAACTGAAGGCAAGGATTATGGCTGTATTCACTAACTTAAACAAGGAGACCGTCCAGAAGAGATGCAGGAGATTCCGAAATCCTCTGGAGGCGGCGGTTGAAGCCAATGGTAATTTTATTGAATAAATTTACCCTTTAGTATTTCGGGATATTTTTTGTCTAATTTTGGCAAATATATTTTCATATTGGCGTCAATTAGACGACAATTTATCCATCGCACTCAGGGTATCCATTAAAATGAGATGACAGTATTATTTTCATTTTGGCGTCATTTAGACGACATTTTATCCATCGCACCCTGTCTGTCTGTTAAAATGAGATGTCAGTATCATTTTTCATTTTGGCGTCAATTAGACGACAATTTATCCATCGCAGCCTGTATATATTATTTACAGAATTTGATTTTCATGGGCGATTCTGTTTTCTACTCTGATATCCGTTTTCTTGTCCTACATATCCAACGATACGCGCTTTTAAAAAACAGCGTGATAATCCCAACACACTAAGCACGGCTTGGAAGATGAGCCTGCAAGTAAGTTCACCTTGGATTAGTAATCACTTAGCGACATTGCCAGGTGTTTCCATTTATAGAAGACACACTGGATACTAAACGAGAGATGTCTTTCATATTTCCCCATCAGTTTCCCAGATCTTGTTTGTGGTGACTTCCTTTGGAAATCCCTTTTCAATTCTCAATGTTTACTTTACCAAACAGACCTTTCATATAATCGATCCAGATCGAAGCAAGATACACGAATCTGTATCTGCCATTCACCTGTCAGACAACGCTGTAATCTTTCTTGATTGGCCAGCGCCAGACGTAATTACTCACCATAATCTTTTCAGTGATTAGAATATTGCCTTATACTGCTTTCAAAAACTGACAAAATAAAACCCCCAACACACACACACACACACACACACACACATCTATACAGTGTGTTCTGAAAAAAATTCGGTTCGACCAACAAGCCCTCCCCTGCATAAAAAAAAACCCTGAGACTGTTGATAAGTTTGAAAAGAATCATTATTATAGAGGATGTTTTTCGGCAAATAGATTGTCTTCTTCAAATGTTTCTAATTCGAACGATATTTTGACCGTCTTATTCTACGGTCTTCATCAACAGTATGGAATAGGTAGATATTCATTATTTTCGGTTAGAGGTTTCAACGATTTGGGACAGGTCAAAAATTTGTCAGCAATCCTCATATATATATATATATATATATATATATATATATATATAGTTGTATTGATGTCAGTTTGTGACCTTGGTTTCCACATGACGCTCGTCTACCCAATTTCACTCACAAGGCTTGGGTCAACCTGTGGTATGGTTTTCAGCCGCTTTCCAAATATTATATATATTAGGGGGTTGGTGTATATATATATATATATATATATATATATATATATATATATATATATATATATATATATATATTGTGTGTGTGTGTGTGTAACAAACTGAAATAGCTTTTTGCTGTCGAACAAAACTACAATTTTATTTGTAAAGTGGTTATAAATTAATTATGTTGTTAAAACACAGCGATATTGTCTACTGTCCGCAGTTTTGCGCCGTGATTTGCATAAAGTGTCAATGCACAATATATATTCGCCTTGTGCCAAAGTTAACATCGTCCATCTTCTATTCTGTAATAACGCGAATCAAGCGAACCCTTTCAAATGAAATCACCAGGGAAGCAACTATCAGATCGGAGGGGTTGCATATTCCAACTGCACAAATACGCATGCGTAGAAGATTGCATTCGTGCTCTTTCTCTCCATCTTTTTGTGTTGCGTTAAAAGCATATATATAGCCATGGATTGAAATGAAGGAATAAAGCAAAAGAAAAAAGTAAACGGGAAAAAAAGCCTCAGTAATTCTTATGTTAGATGGAAGGCCCCATGAAGTTGTAATTTTATGACCCGTTCTAAGATTGCTTATGAGAACTTCAAAGGACGATTGTTCAGAAATAGAGTTCTCAACCATTATTTCCTTACAAGTCATTTTCTCTTGATTTTTCGTGTTTTATGCAAGGCGTTTAGATTCTTTATTTAAAACCAATCTTTTTTTTTTTTTTTTTTTTTTATAACTTTTCGTCTTCCGGTTAACCTCATTTTTATATTTTAGGTTTTCTCGCACAGTTTTTTTTTTTTTTTTTTTTTTTTACGTATTTTTCCTATTTTTGTCTCTTTCGTTTTACTTTCTCCATTTTTTTTTCGCCAATTTCTATTCCGTCATTTTTCTGTTCGAGTTTCTTTCTTTCTTTTTTCTTTCTTTTTTTCTTTCTTTCTTTGTCCCGTCATTTACGTTCTTTCTTTTTTCATTTTTTACTCTTAATTTCTTTTTTTTATCTTTCTTCCTTCCTTCCTTTATTTCTTTCTTTATTTCCTTTTCTATTTTTTATTTAATTTTCGTTTGTGTTTCTTTCTTTCATTCTTTCTTTCTTTCATTCTTTCTTTCTTTCTTTCTTTCATTTTTTTCTTTCTTTCTTTCTTTTTCTTTCTTTCTTTCTTTCTTTCTCAGTGAATAGATTTCTCTTATCTTTCTATTACTTTTGAAATAATTATCATGTAATCTTTTCTTTCTTTCTTTTTTTTCTTTCTTTCTTTGTCCCGTCATTTTCGTTCATTCTTTTTTTTCGTTTTTTCCTCTTAATTTCTTTTTTATCTTCCTTCCTTCCTTTATTTCTTTCTTTATTTCTTTTTCCATTTTTTATTTAATTTTCGTTTGTGCTTTTTGTTTGTTTGTTTCTTTCTTTCTCTCTTTCTTTCTTTTTATGTCTGTTATTTTTGTTTATTTCTCTCTTTCTTTTTCTTTCCACCCAAATTTTCTCGCCCTTATTCTCTACCATCAAATAACCTTTCTTTTTTTTCTTTATCGTCTTTCCCTTTCCTCAAAGTCATTATTCCTATTCGCACGTCCTTCCTTCCTTTCCTCTTGTATCAGGATTCGTTCCTTCCTCTGTTTAGTCCTTTCTTTTCTCCATTATTACTCTTCTTCCTTTTCTTTCTTCTTTTGTCTCCGCCTTTTTCTACACCTTTCACCCATTTCCGCGCCCCCCGTTCCTTCAATTTTGGCTTCCTCCATTTCCTTCTTTCTTCCGAATTCCTGCATTCTGTCAGATGTTCACCGATTCTCCTCATATCCGACCAAATCACATGACCCGAAGGAAGAAGCACTTATCAATCAATCGTCATCGCAAATAACAGGAAGAAAAAGAAGATGAAGACAAATATACAAGAAAGAAATTCACGACACTATTTACCGTCCATGTTACTCTACAAGGTAGCAAAATACACAGGCGGACTGAAAAGTCTTTTCCCAGTTTCAATATCTTATCTGACATTAAAATGAACCAAACAAAAATAAAAACTTCATATTTTATTTATTAAAGATAACACACATTTATCAGTCATGGGAAAGTTCACTTAGTGTGCCGGCAATGCTTTTCTTAATAAGAGACCCCATAGATTACCCTTCACTTAGAAAAGTGGTTTTAAATTTGAATCTAAGTTTGCCTTGTTGGAAACCCACTGTTTACGCTCAGAAGGGATTCGCCCTGAATAATTTATGACGTAGCAGTTTCATCTCAGCCAAAAATCAAAAACCATTGACATTTGAGAATATTCGACTACAATCACATGTATTTTATTTACCTTATCGATTTTCTGTATATATTCGCATAAGAATGGTTTTTCATAGGCGATCATGGTTCTCCATATCTTCCTATTCTTTGTAGGTCTATGTAGTGTTTATTTTCTTACTATTCCTTTCAGACCATCTTTTGTCATCCACACTAGCTTGTTACTTGTTGTTTCCTTCCCTTCCCCTTGCTTTCAATATGTCAGATGTAGCGTCATATTCTCTAGGTCCTCTTTTCTCAAAATACGTCCCTTTTAAGTAAATTGATATTCTTAACACTTCCTAAGAAGCTAGGTGCAATAGAATATGAACTCCACTGGACAATCAGCCTAATGAGCCATATAAGAAAACTAATCATCCTAGTCTTGATGTATAGAGCGCGCAGCAGAATCAGTCCGGAAATAGGATAAATATAGTGCGGGTTCGTTAAAGACGCTGGAACAAAGCATGCTACATTTATGCTTAGAATGGGATCAGGAAGAGCAATACAACTGCAAATTGATATATATATATACCTACACCCTTGTGCAATTTAATTGCAACAAAACTAATAATCCCGTTTTTATTTACTTTTATTCGTATTTTTCCAATAAAACATGTCCCAATGCCCATGTTAGTATTTCGTATGTCCATTCCACGAAGTCGTTCCTTGCAGATTGACCACAGATTCTCGATTGGATTTAAATCAGAAGAGTTTCCGAGCCAGTCGATAGTACTTTGATTTACTCACTGGTAAGGCCTGCCAGTGCGTTCGTGCAAAGTTACAATTTTCGTACACTTCCTTGGAGTAACATCTATCGCAGACGTTGGCCGTAGGACCACTAATCGACAGTCGAGACAATAGAGTCTGGGCGTGGGGAAAATCTGATGCAATCACGGATGACGCAATATTTTTCAAGGCAAAACAAATTTCATCAAACACCCCGAAAACAGATTCATATTACTGCATACCACTGCAAATTATCTAATCTGAGGAAAAGAGCAGAAATCGATTACTGATCGATTATGCAAAAAGTATGGCCCAAAGAATTGCTGAACTGCTAGATATCTTTGACATATTTTGGAAGGATATTAGAATAATCCAGAAGCTATCCTAGCAGCAAACTGCCTGAATACAAATAGAAAATAAGTTCAATAAATAATGAAAAAAATAAGAAGGGGTTTAAGACAAGGATGTGTCGTCTCACCAGATCTTTTTATAGGTAACCTTGACATATTTCGGAAGGATATTAGAATAATCCAGGACATATACTAGCAGCAAACTGCCTGAATACAAATAGAAAATGAGAAAAATAAGAAGGGGTTTTCCCCCTATATAGCGAAGTGATCCTGAGAGAAATAGTCCTACTAGTATTCTTTATTGGTGGCCACAATCTTAACAATGTATGATAGGCAGAAGGGTTAAAATTGTTCAGAAACGCTAAAAGGGTTAATGTTGGCATCCTTAATTTCTTCTATCTTCTCAATAACATCCGTGCAGTCAATATTGCTGGTCATGTGTAATTATATTTTATGGACTATGCAAAAGTGTTTGATCAAGTACGTCACAAAGAACTAATCGAAATGTCAGGTAAACTTGACATATGTGGAAAGGATATTTAGAATAATCCAAAGACTCTACTGACAGCCAGCTGCCTGCATTCGGATAGGAAAGGAATTCAGTAAAGATGCAAAAATACAAAGGGGTATAAGACAAGGATGTGTCGTATCACCAGACAATTTTAATCTCTACAGCAAGGCCATTTTGAGAATTAGAAATCCTACCAGTATTCATTACTGGCAACCAATTAAAATTGTTCAGGAATGCAGGGCTCAAAGGGTTAATGTTGACATTCTTATTTTTTTTTCTGTCTTGTCAACAAGATCTGTGCATTCAATATTACTGTCATGTGTAACTAGGTTTTATGGACTATGCAAAAGTGTTTGACCAAGTACGTCACAAAGAAATATTGGACCTGTCAGGTAAACTTGACATATGTGGAAAGGATATTAGAAATATTGCTAGAAGAGTAGTGAACTGTTATGTAATATCAGTCCTGCTATATAGCAGTGAATGTTGGACAGTTTCCTCACAGATGAAGAAGAGACTCGAAGCAACAGAAATGTGGTTCTAGGGAAAGATTCTAAGAATATGATAGACTGAACGTGTGAGCAACGATGAACTTCTAGAAACAAATGCAACAAAAAGGACACATCTACAAAACATTTACAACAAATCAACTCTTTTGTTTTGCCAATGTAACAAACACTTTAACCTTTGAGCCCTGACCACCGATTTACCGGTGGTAGAGAAAAAATACTTAATTCCCAGCCACCGGTTGAACGGTGGGGTAAAATCTTGTGTCGTGTTTTGCTATTGGTTGTCTTATTTGGGTAGACTGGGACACAAAGAAATAATTCTGGCGATAAAGTGAAGGCACACAATCATCTTCTGTTCCTGCTTAGATTTTTTGTAACTATTTTTATATCTACCACGAAACATTACATACCCATTATTTGCGAATTTTGACTTGGGAGCTCAGACAGAACGGTTAAAATTGTTCAGGAACGCAGACCTCAAAGGGTTAATGTTGGCATCCTTAATTTCTTCTATCTTGTTAACAAAGAACTGTTGGAACAGTAGTCAATGGCCGTGGGACAACTAATCGACAGTCGGGACAATAGTGTCTGGGAATGATGAAAATATGATGCAATCACGGATGGCGCAAAATTTTACAAGGCCAAACAAATTGTATCACACGCCCCGAAAATATTCATATTTGCACACCACTGCAAATGAACTAATCTGAGGAAAAGAGCAGAAATCGATTACACCCTGTCACTCCAATGGGTCTAAAACTGATCGTATGATGAAAGAAAGGAAATGATGTATGCTTTATAGATTATTTAAAAGTATTTGATAAAGTACAGCCCAAAGAATTACTAAACTGCTAGATAACCTTGACATGTTCAAAAAGGATATTAGAATAATCCACAACTTATACGAGCAGCAAACTGCTTGTAGACAGAAAATGAGTTCAGTAAATAAGAAAAATAAGATGCGGTTTAAGACAAGGATGTGTCGTCTCACCAGATCTTTTCACCCTATATAGCGAAGTCATGCTGAGAGAATTAGTCCTACTAACATTCTTTGATTTGGTTTGCTTTGTTCTACGGTATATCAACATATCAATGGGTTATTTAATGCCGACAAGATTTTTATTGCTGGTAATTTGTTTTTTTTCAAAAATATACTGCTGGTAATAATTTTTTTCATCAAAAATATATTGTTGTTATTTTTTCAAAAAATCTATTGCTAGTAATAATGTTTTTTTCCAAAAATGTATTATTGATATTAAAACCTATATTTATACTTTCATGGTGTTTTGACCCCAGTTTGCTTATTAATTAGTTGCCCATAGCTCGGACCCTAACAGTTGCTACTACCTCGGGTCAGGGTGGACCTGGGAACAGCAGCAATTAAGAGGTGGTTCCACGCTCCTCAAAATATCCTGATCAAAAGCCTTGCTGCTGGACGTAGTTTATTGTCTTTCCGAGGACGCGGACGTTGTTTATCGTCTTACCCAGGACGACAGATGTAGTTTATCGTCTTCCCCAGGACGACGGATGTAGTTTATCGTCTTACCCAGGACGCTAGAATTATTTATTATGTCCACAATCTTAACAACGTAAGATATGCAGATGACACAGTGTTGATGTCAGACGCAGTAAGGAAACTACAAGTACTCTTACAGAAGGCTGTGAAAGAAAACGAGAAGAAAGGACTAAATACTAATTACAAGAAGACTGATTACATGGTTGTTAGCAAAAGGAACAATCCAACATGCAAATTACAGATTGGAGATAACTAAATCAAATAGGGGAAACAATTTAGATATCAGGGAAGTTTATTAACAGGAGATGGAAAGGGCAAAATGGAAATCCAAAGGCGCAATTGGATAGTGAAAGATGCCTTCCAAAAGCTGAGCAAAGTATTAAGATACAGAAATATTGCTAGAAAAAGAAAAGAAAAGAGTAGTGAACTGTTATGTAATATCAGTCCTCCTATATAACAGCGAATGTTGGACAATTTCCTCACCGATGAAGAGATTTGGAGCAACAGAAATGTGGTTCTACAGAAGGATGCTGAGAATACATGAACTGAACAAGTGAGTAACGATGAATTTCGAGAAAAACGTATTAGAATAATCCAGAAACTCTACTGGCAGACAACTGCCTGCATATGGAGAGGAAAGGAGTTCAGTAAATATGCAAAAATACAAAGGGGTATAAGACAAGGATGTGTTGTATCACCAGACGATTTTAATCTCTACAGCAAGGCCATTTTGAGAATTAGAAATCCCACCAGGATTCACTACTGGCAACCAATTTTAAGGTATACAGATGAAACATTGTTGATAGCAGATACAGAAAGGAATTTCAAGAACTCCTAAAGAAGGTAGTGAAGGAAAGCGAGAAGAAAGGACTAATTGCAAGAAGACGGTATGCATGGTTGTTAGCAAAAGGAACAAGAAGAAAAA